GAAAACAAAGTTAGGTTAGTTTAGGTTAGTTTTGGGTTAGGTTAGGTTAAAGTCGATTGAAATTTTAGTCTTGACTAAAGTTGTGGGAAAACTTATATGTAAATGTCTCTCCTTCATCTCAGGTAGAGTGAGTCAGGTGAACGGCTCTCACCTGTTCCACGAAGGTGCAAGGTGGGCGCCACACCTGTGAGAAAATGTGTGATAATGTTATCAGGTGTGACCCCCCCACCTCTCCATCCCCCTCCATCTCCCTCCTCCCTCCCTCCTCCTCCCTTCCCCACCCTCCCTCCCTTCCCCCACCCCCTCCTCCCTCCTCATCCCCCTCCCCCCCTTCTCCTCCCCCCTCTCTCCTTTTCTCCCAAAGCCCAGCCAAACCTCACATCATCCTAATCCACCCCTTCCCCCTCCCTCCTCCCCACTCCTCCCTCTTCCCCCTCCCTCCCCCCCTCATCCCCTCCCTGCCCTCCCCCCTCCCTCCTCCGCCGTCCTGACCCAGCACCACTAAGGATGGGGGGGGGAGGGAGGGGACAAGAAGGAGGAAGGCGGGAGGGGGCTAAGAATGAGGAAGGAGGGGGTCAAGAAGGAGGAAGGAGGGGAGGGGGTCAAGAAGGGGGGGGAGGGGAGGGGGTCAAGAAGGGAGGAAGGCGGGGAGGGGGTCAAGAAGGGAGGAAGGCGGGGAAGGAGGAAAACAAGGAAGGAGTAGTGAGGGAGGGAGGAATGGAATGATTGAGTGAGGTAAGTGGTGAGAGGCGATGAAAGTAAGTAGTGAGAAGTGAGAGGGAAGTAGGTAAGTGAGAGGGAAGTAGGTGAGAAGTGAGAGGGAAGTAGGTAAGTGAGAAGTGAGAGGGAAGTAGGTAGTGAGAGGGAAGTAGGTAAGTGAGAGGGAAGTAGGTGAGAAGTGAGAGGGAAGTAGGTAAGTGAGAAGTGAGAGGGAAATAGGTAAGTGAGAAGTCAGAGGGAAGTAGGTAGTGAGAGGGAAGAGAAGCGAATGATGCAACTTGTTTTGGTGCAGTACAGATAAGATAACTAAGCCACCACCTCTCTCTCTTATACCTGTAATTTACCTGTAACTGTACCCGTCATCTTCTGTACTCTCCCTCTACTGTACCCTCCATCTCCCTTTACCTTCCCTCTTCTGTACCCTCCCTCTACTATACCCTCTCTCCCTTCACCCTCCATCTACTGTACCTTCCCTCTACTGCAAATTCTCCCCACTGTGTCTCCCCCTCTCCTTGCTCCTCCCTCTCTCTACTGCACCCTCTCCCCCACTGTACCTCCCCCCACTGTACCCTCCCCCACTGCAATCTCCCCCACTGTACCCCCCCACTGTAACCTCCCCCACTGTAACCCCCACTGTACCTCCACTGCAAAAATCCCTCCATCTACTGCACCTCCATCTACTGCACCCCCCCACTGTACCCGCCCCCACTGTACCCCCTCCTCTACTGCACCCCTCCTCTTCTGTACCTCTCCCCACTGTACCCTCCCCTACTGTACCCTCCCCACTGCACCCTCCACTGCACCCTCCCCCACTGTACCCTCCCTCTACTGCAACCTCCTCCACTGCAACCTCCCCCACTGCACCCTCCCTCTTCTGCACCTCCTCTACTGCAACCTCCCCCACTGTAACCTCTACTGCACCCCCCCACTGTACCCTCCCCCACTGTACCCTCCCCCACTGCAACCCTCCCCACTGCACCCTCCCCCACTGCACCTCCCTCTACTGCAACCCCCCCACTGTAACCTCCCCCACTGTACCCCCCCCACTGTAAGCCTCCTCTACTGTACCCTCCTCTACTGCACCCTCCCCACTGCAACCCCCCACTGCACCCCTCCCCACTGCACCCTCTACTGCAACCTCCCCACTGCACCCCTCCCACTGTACCCTCCCCACTGCACCCTCACTGTGCACCCCCTCTCACCCCCTCCCTCTACTGCACCCCTCTTCTGCACCATCCCCCACTGCACCCTCCCCACTGTACCCTCCCCCCACTGTACCCTCCCCCACTGCACCCTCCCTTCTGCACCTTCCCCACTGTACCTCCTCCACTGCACCTCCCTCCCCACTGCACCCTCCCCCACTGCACCCTCCCTCACTGCACCCTCCCTCTTCTGTACCCCTCCCCACTGTACCCTCCTCTCCCCCTCTCCCCCCACTGTACCCTCCCCCCCTCTACTGCACCCTCCCCACTGTACCCTCCCTCTCCCTTTACCCTCCCTCTACTGTAACCGCCCTCTACTGTACCCTCCCTCTACTGTACCCTCCCTCTACTGTAACCTCCCTCTACTGTAACCTCCCTCTACTGTAACCGCCCTCTACTGTACCCTCCCTCTACTGTACCCTCCCTCTACTGTAACCTCCCTCTACTGTAACCTCCCTCTACTGTAACCTCCCTCTACTGTAACCTCCCACTGTAACCGCCTCACTGCAATTCCCTTTGCTGCTGTAATTCTACTCCCCCCTCCCCTGTACCTGTATCCTGTAAACATTTACCTGAGACAAGTTGAGTAATCAAGTGGGTTTTTTGTATCCATACCTGGGGCTTATGTATGTATGTATGTATGTATGTATGTATGTATGTATGTATGTATGTATGGTAATGCTGGAGGATACAGTGACGAAATCTTACTACAGAGTTTACATAGAGAGGATGTGAAGGATTCTAGTGTAGGATGTAGGACGCTTGGTGTAGGAACCTCAAAGAGTTAAACCATTGTGTTTTAAAAGGGTTAAACCACCATGCTATTGTATTGTTGTTCTCAAAATTTTAAACTGTTTATGAAATTATACAAGTTATACTAACCCAGTTTTACCTAACCTAACCTATCCTAACCTAACCTAACCTATCCTAACCTATCCTAACCTATCCTAACCTAACCTAACCTATCCTATCCTAACCTAACCTAACAAAAGAGACAACTTGACTACTTAGGTTTCTCCATGATGGACTTCCTTTGATAAAGATTTTGTGACGAAACGTTTAGCATTAAAATTGTGAGTTTTCCTTTGTTTCCATATAACCTACCCTACCCTGCCCTGCCCTACCCTACCCTACCCTACCCTACCCTACCCTGCCCTGCCCTGCCCTGCCCTGCCCTGCCCTGCCCTGCCTGCCCTGCCCTACCCTACCCCTGCCCTAACCTAACCTACCTGCCCTACCCCCCTACCCTACCCTACCTAACCTAACCTAACCTAACCTAACCTACCCTGCCCTGCCCTACCCACTGCCTGCCTGCCCTGCCCCCTACCCTACCCAAACATACCCTACCCTAACCTAACCTACCTTGCCCTACCCACTATTTATTTTGCTCATTAACTTAAGTAAATATGTAGGCTGGGTTAAAATGGCTTTTATCTGTTCCTGTTAATAAAACGAATAATACAGAACAAAATGACTCGAAGTAATACGTGAATAAGTCTTGTTCTTCACGTAACGAACAGGTTTTTCTTTATTACAAATTTGTTCCTATAATTAATGGTCCAGGTGTCATTAAAACGCTTCAGTGTGGTGTATTATAGGGTACAGTCATGTTACAGTATGGTATATGGTGTGTGGTACAGTCAGGGTACAGTATGGTTAGGAGTATGGTGCAGTATAGTTTTATTTTACGGTACAGTGTGGTATATATATTACGGTACAGTCGGGGTACAGTTTTAACATTGTATCGACTATGATGTAAGGGGGAGGTGCGGGGAGTGGCCAAGGACCTTTATCCCCACCCTCTGTTATCTCTCTCTCTCTCTCTCTCTCTCTGACGTGTCATAACTTGCTTTCGTCTTATCACGACCACCATCAGTCACCACTAACACCATCGCCAACAACTATACCTAACCCCCACAGTCTTTGGTAATGTGTACGTAAAAGGTGTACAATAATGTGTACATCATCCTTGGCCCTAGTACGTACACGTCTACTGCGCCACAAGGCTCACCTCCTCGCCTACCCTCACACAAGCCCACCTGAAATTACACAGATAAGAACCACTTGTATCTCCATTACCATCTCTCACGAAAACAGATTTGAAGTATTTTTTTTTTACAACTTTGGCTGTAAACAAGTGTAAACAGTATACTCGTGGTTTATACTTTTACACAAAACGTTAAGGAATATAATTTATCACAAAACATTATATCTTTTTTTCAGTCTTAAGTAAATGAGTATTTTTTTGTAATTTTCGGATTCTTTTTTTTTTTAATAAATTCTCCATAAAAACTTTTTAGTCCATCTGTCTATGCAATATTATTTAAGGATAGGATAATCGTTGTTGTTTTATCATGTCTTAGGATGTAAGGTACAGTATACTGTAGGTCAGGCTGACGGGAAACAGGATATGCTGCGACGTGTGGCAACTATCTGGTGTTAGCAGACAGTGTGGCGTCAATCAGAGGCGGCGGGACTACCCTAGCTAGCTCCTTTCTTTGTCTCAACTAAAGCTTCCCTCTCAACACTCTGATTTACCTATTGACTTTGCTAACACCCTTTTATTTTACTGTAATACTCGTCAGAAATTTATATAAATAAAGTTAACGCTAGTTTAATTATCATTGTTCTTTAATACTCGATAGGAATCAAAGACCTTATTATGAGCAGAGTGAAGAAAGTGTATATGATAGAGGGGGGGGGAGGGGGAGAGGATATATCCTTTCTTATAACGTCAGAGTAGAATGATAATAATATACAGAAAGTAGGTGATGTAAATACCAACTTGTGATGTCATTCGGGCAGCTCCTTACCCCGCCCTCTGATGACGCCGGATGGTGCTCAAATACCAGCTACTCAATTTTTCTATAATATTATCAAGCTCGCGTGAGATATAAATTCACCCTGTTTTAAATTCATAGATATAGAATATAATATAGTATGTTATATATGTACTTTAATATATATCAAAATCCTAAAACTAAGTCGATAAAATGAAGAAAACGACTGATGGTAAGTGGAGACCGGAGGGTATATAAACGCGAGAGGAGCAAGTCATCTCAGTACCTCTCAATCCCTCTCACTAGTCACTACGTTCTTTTGCTCACTGAGTTTTGTTTATCTTCGCCCGAGAGAGGAGGGTAGAAAATACGCACAAGTATCGTCCAGTGAAATGGTTGTTATTGTTGATTACTTGACCCAAAGGCTATATTAGTGCAACTAGTGAACGTAGACAGTAGTAAGCTTGTCTAGTGGACTCAGGAAAGTGTTGTAAAAAAAAAAATATTATAAAAAAGACTATCAGTGCTGTATACCAAAGACGCTCCTTGGCTGCAAACTAGCTTCTGTTTTGTCTTTTTATTATTATTTATATTAGACGTAAAAGCAAACAAACTATCACAGTGTTTTGGTTGAAGCTTTAATTACTGTAGGAGTGTATGTGTGTATGTGTGCGTGAAGATGGTAGTGTCCGCAGAAGAATACCGTCACAAAATCTTCGGTGTTATTCCCTCTCCTGACCACACCACTTATTACTGTAAGTGTAAATTTTATACAAATATAACTTAAACCCCCCTAAAAAGTATTCCTCCTCTTCCTTCTTCTATGATACTTATAAATGTTTCTGTTACATAATTTACCAGTTAAGTTTGTGATAGATATTTTACCAATTCCTAATTTATGTAGACGAATTTGTGATTGATTTTTTTTTTAAAACAACTTTTTACCGAACGTTCTAAAGAGCAGAGAGATAAATTAGAACTTTCGATTTTCCTTTTGAAGTGAAAATCAATACAACAGCTGATGATTATATTAACGGTCTCTGTAAAACATTTGTCGATTTTTAATTTATTTTTTTATTTATTTTTAACTGTGGACATAAATCACATGGGAGTTTGACAGTTAATTAGGTTATTAAAAAAAATTGCAAGGCTAATTTTTTTTTTTAACATGTAGTGACTTAGATGTTTGTACAGAAGCAACGTATATAAATCCTGTTGTTGTTGTTGTTCATGGTTCTGGGAGACACATGGTATATTATATAATTAAATGTATACATATGTTGAAATATACAACGTAAAGATATAGGGGTCCAATTAGCACAGTATAGGGGAGTGATGTAGGCTATATCTCGAGCCCTGTAGTGACTGTGTTATATAATGTTAGTGTAGAGAGATATTGATTAATCGTTTAGTTAGTACGTTGATAGTCAGGATAGTTTCTAAGATGGCGATTATCAAGCACAATTCAGTCATTAGAGAGCCTCGTAGACAACTGTATGTAGTGTTTTGTAGAAATGTCTTTAGTTGATATACAAGGCCTTGAGAGATTTACCTTTGCAAGTTTAATTAGCAAGTTCCATTTTTATGGTTGTAGTAATTTTTACAAGACTTAGTAGAGTTCATCATCCATAGTGTTATTGTGTTTTAATAGTAGCAGTGTTAGGTGTGTGTTATTAATACTTTTTGTACACTTTATGGTAATATCTGTGTCCTGGGAATGGTGGTAATTACAGTGTGTGTGTGTGTGTGTGTGCGGAAAGTGATAATTTATTTTTAACTGCTTGTACTGCGATCGTTCAGGGGGTAATGATAGTGTTTTTCATGTTAATTTATGATTGGTGATTATTATGTAAGAATCATGTGTGTGTTTGTTTATATTGGTCATTTATGAGTTAATGATGGTCATTATACCAGTATTTTGAGTTGTATGAGTTATTGGATGTGTGGATGACTTAATTACTAACACCTGGATGTTTTCTCCCTCAGGTGACACCGACATGGCAGCAGCTACAGCGTCTCCAGAGCCTAAGGGCACATTGACCCCCCCAGGCTCCTCCCCCCTAAGGGCGGAGTGTGACCCCACCCGAGACTCCTCCCACGGCTCCACCCCCCCGTCGCCAGAGGCTCCCCCCACCCCAGACTCCGCCCACATGGCCGCCGAGCCCACCAATCACAGCGCAGCGCGTCTTCAGTCCACCACTGACAGACCAGAGAGGCACTTACTGACCAATCAAGAACCCCTATCGGGAGCCAAGAAGAGGAAGGCGACGAAGGTTCACAAAGTAGAGGTAAGTTGGGGCAAGTCTCCCCCTTTCTTTCTACCCCTTCTCTCCTCCTCCCTCTCAAGTGCCGGCTCCTGGTCATTGCCGACGGACACTATCGCAGTCAGTCTTTACCGTAACGCCTTCACTGTTGCGGCGTTGAAGTCACTGCCACGCCCCCCCCCTCCTTCTCCTCTATTAGTGCAGGATGGAGCGGCGGGTGTAGTGACGGTGGCCCGGGCGGCTCAGTGTGGTGTACAGTGGTGGTGGGGAGATGTACTGCCTCGTGTGCTCAGGCTCTCCTCTCGCTATCTGAACTTGAGTGACTGACCAGTGCGTGTGTTAAGACTGATCAACATTTGTTTAACTTAAGTGTTGATACTGACTTGTGTTCACTCATGGTGCTGTTATTGACTGATCACCACTTGTTAACTGATGGTGCTGCTGCGTCACTTTGCTGAACTTATCCGACCCGGGTTCTTGCAGCAAGTGAGCCCCATGTGTATTAACATGGTAAGGCCAGGAGCTGTTCACTGCTGTGTTATAACCTTGAGTTTTATTGTGAACATGTGAAGTGAATCAACTTTCCTGTAAAGTGTTCAGTGTGTGTTAATGTTATTGATTTTATTGTGAACATGTGAAGTTATGTAAATAATTCACTGAGTGTGTCTAGTGTGATGAGTTTATTTTACTGTGGTGTGTCTTAAGTGTGTTTATTTCACTCTTTCAATTTGTGTAGTGTGTTATGGTATTCTGAGCTGTTGTTAATACCAACCTGTATGTGACGTGAAGACAAACATACACTTAAGAGGTAAATTACTGTAACAACCATTACAGTTTTGTGAAGGATGAAGACAAATTATTCCTGGAAACAGATGTGAGGGGGAGTTGACAGTTTCTCTCTCACTCAAGGCTGGCTGGTTGTCTGTCAATACGTTGTTCAGATTCATCTATGAGTAATTACCTTCCTTACACCATGGGCTAATCCGGCTTTTCCTGTTGTGACGTCACGTGATGGTATACTTACCCACCAACTTTATACCGAATGTAAACACTTAAACTATATTGACAACTATAGTAAAGACGTGAAGTTATGAATGTAGATAAGAGTTATCTTGTTTTTGTAATAGTTATTTAATAATTGATTGCTATGAGTTATTTGAGTTGTTATATAATGATGTAGCCGGGACCCATGCAGCCTCGCTTTACCGGATATGTTGATAGTATAGCTGATTGTTGGAAATTTTAAAAGATAAAATCCGATGTAGCGTAACTTGAGCCGCGTTTGTTTATATATATCCGGCCTCTTCAAGTCAATCTGTGTGGGGAAGTCCGAAGAGTTGCTGTAGGCGTCACATCCGGCCTGGTATCATCAGGTACACAAACACGGGAGGCATTAGTAGCCAGATCTTGCCCTTGGGAACCCCACTCCTCCTCCTCATCTCCTTAGTGCTCTTGACCACATCGTTCAGAAAATACGAGTCCAGCTGTGACTATTGTACTTCTTATCACGAGAAATGTAAGTAGGAATTAGTATTTAACACTTACAAACTTTGGTGATTGTAAATTGATTTTTAGTGTTGGTATAGATAATAGGGTTTATTTTTTCGTCGCTGTTGATAAAATGAAAGTTACATCGTAAGAGTATAGCTACGAGTTTGTCAATGTTTTTACTTCAGAACATTTGAGTTTTTTTTTTTTTGTGAGTGGTATTTAATTATCTTCATTAGTATAGTCTCTGCCCTCCACCGAGTCTAGGTAGTTTTTATTTTTAATTTGGAACTAAAGGAAACGGTCACGAGAGAAAACGAACCGAGTGTGGATGATTCAGAGTGAGGCAAGTGAGAGATCCTTCCTTGAGGTAAACACTATAGCGGCGTTGATCCGGAGTAGTCTGGACTTTAAGAATCTTGACGTCATGATGATTCATTTCGTAACGAGTGAACGATGTGTAACTTGGACAGAGGGGAACGTAAGTACACACTCCTCTTCCTTTTGTCGAATTCACTGAAAACGAACCACAACCAACACTGACTCTAAGCGGAGCAGCGGAAGGTCCCAGAGCGTCATCGTCACGGAAGGAAAGGTGACAACACGAGAGCTGAGGAATTAACAGGAACTGGTGGATAACGCGGAGAAAAATGACCAAAAGCTACGATAAGACCATGAGTTAGTTTGGACGACAGCTGCTGGTTGCGTTAAAGCTGTGGCTGGTGGAAAGGTGCTGTGGAGAAAAGAGGTCGGGAATGTAATAAGAGATTGTGTAGGAGAGAGGCGAGGCGCTGGCTGGGTGTGACCAGTGAAGTAAGAGGTGCGTGGGGGAGCCTTCAGGGCAGTCGACTTAAAGGGCCGCGGGGCACAGTGTTGAGTCCCCCTCCCCTCCGTCTTCCCTTCCCTCCCCGCCTCTTCACCACAGGGAGAGGAGGAGGAGGGGGGGGGTGGTGGTGGTGGTCTGGTGTAACTATGTACGACAGTGGTGTTAATCAGTCACAAATTATAGGAAAGTTGATTGTTTGGTTAGATTAATTATAGGCTCCATCAACTTGTTGGTAATTAGATGAGATTTTAAGAATTACAGCATCAAGTAGATGTTTGTGAGGGTATGTCTGAATGATTTTGAGAAGGTAAATTTGTAAATAATTGTAAGCGAGTGGTGTGTTGAGTGGAGGGAAAGGTTGTTTGACTGTGTGTAGGCAGCGGGAAGGAGGGAGGGAGGGAGGGAGGTGGGTCGCGCCTGCCGTCTGTTGCTGTGTGGTGTGGCGGGGTCGGGGGTCGCCGTGGTGGCCAGCAGTGGAATAACTCTTGTGTTTCTTGTTACAGACGGAGTGCGGGAGTGAGGGTGAGGGAGACGCGGGAGTGACCGGCAGCTTCGTGTGTCCCGTGTGCCAGGAGGTGTTGTCCTCCCAACACGAGTTTACTCAACACATCCGCAAGCACAACCACGTCCTGGAGACCGACAATGGCACTAAGGTTTACTGCTGCGGCATCTGCAAAAAACAGCTGAGCAGCAACAGTTCCCTCGACAGACACATGCTCGTCCATTCTGGCGAGCGGCCCTTCCGGTGTCACATCTGCGGCACTCACTTCACCACCAATGGAAACATGCACCGCCACATTCGCGGCCACTACCGCAATGGCGGAGGAGGCAGCGGCGGCGGCGGCGGCGGTGGCGGTGGCTCTGATACCGGGGAAAGCGACTTAGGCTCCGAGGAAGGCTCGTCGTCGCCCTGCAAGCGACGCCTGGACGACGATGACGACAACCTGGTGTCGGCCAAGGCAGTGCGTCTGGGCGAGGCAGAGGAGCTGCTGGCGTGCCCGGCGTGTGGCGTGGAACAACCCAGCCAACACGCCCTCGAGCAGCATGTGGAGAACATCCACCCCGAATACCAGGTGGCGTGCACCACCTGCCAGGTGGCCTTCAAGAACTACCGCGCCCTCCACCTCCACAACTCTATGGTCCACCCCACAGCTACAGTCTCCCCCCCGCAGCTCGACCTCACACTCACAGACTTCTCCACCTCCAAGTTCCCACTCATTGCCAAAGAAATTTGTGAGGCGAGCAGCAGGCAGTACCAGCACCCGGGGGAGGGCAACGGGGTGTGCAGGTGCCAGCTCTGTAGCATCACCTTCCCCTGTGTTGACTCCTGGCTCATGCACATGAGGGAACACGCCGCCACATCCTCGGCTCCCCCGCCCCCCCTCAGGTGTCTACGGTGTGACCTGACCTTCACAAACGTGGCAGAGTTGGCACACCACCACCAGCGCCACCTGTGCGAGGAGCCTCAGCCTCGGAAGGAGAGCTTCCTAGCGGTGCTGGATTTGCTCAACAAGCAGAGCCGCGAGGCTGTGACCACACCCATCCCCTCCACAATGGAGATGCCCTTCCTCGGCGGCAGTTTACGACCGCCCCTCGGGTTGCCGCCCCTCAGCCAGCATTCTCCAGCACCTGCAGACTCAGGCAAGGCATCTCCCGAGCACCCTACAGCGGGCCGGATCGCCGCCGCCACCACCACCACCACAAGTAGTGTGTCGCCACTAGTGTCTACCGGTCCAGTGCTCTCACACGATGAACAATTTGCGCGTGAATACCGCGACATGAAATTAAATGGCCAGTATCCCTGTCGCTTGTGCAAAGAAATATTTGCAAACTTACGTAAGCTTAAGTCCCATAACTTGGCGCACATGGTGGCACCTCCTTACCGCTGTAATCTTTGTTCTTTTTTTAGCAACGACAAAAACACTTTAAAAGAACACATGAAGAGTCACAAGGGTGATACACCTTACGAGTGCACATTGTGTAACTTGGCCTTCACCACCAAAGCTAACTGTGAACGTCACATAAAGAACATCCACGGCCGCCAGTCACGGGATGAGGTGAAGAGCTGCATGAACTTCATTCCACAAGAAGAAGGCTCCTGCAGTGACCACACCCTCGACACCGTCTGTCACATCTGTCACATCGACTGCAAGGCTCGCTCTGTTTTGCGGGATCATATACGATCTTCACACCCAGAGGGTATGACCAAGCCCTTCTCCTGTAAGCTGTGTGGCGGCGCATTCTCCTCGGAGAATGACGTGATGCGCCATGTGATCCAGCAGCACCCGGAGGCCGCCTCAGGCCCCACACTGGAGACGCTGGTGATGAACAGAGCTGCATTAGAGGACCACCATGAACACCCAGACCTCACACCCGTAGAGTCCCTCCTCAACTTCTCCAAGTTGCCAATGCCGATGCCTCTGACCACCTCCCACCAACCACCACCAGTGTCCCTACCCTTACCATTCCCACACAAGCCTCCTATGCCCATGGTCCAGCCCCCTCGTCCTCTGACCCCCTCCATCATTACCGGCCCTCCTCCACTCCCAGACACGGAGGATGCTCCACTTGACCTCAGCATGAACTCGAAGAGAGAAATGGAAAGAGAGGAGGAGGAAGAGGAACTGGACATTGAGGTGACTGATGTGAAGACAGAACAAATGGAACCTGAGGACTTGTCGAAGCCACGAAGGGAACAAGATGAGGAGGAAGGCGAGGAGAAGATTGTTGAGCCTCCACCTGTACACGAGTCTGCTGCAGATGTGCTCAAGATCCCCAAGCCTCCCTTCCCTCTCAGTGCTATGTACCCTCAGGGTCTGCCCCTGTATAGCCCCTTCACCTCCAGCCAGTACCCCATCCTCATGGAGCCGTATGGTATCCGTCCCGTCCACCAGTTTGACTCGGCTCTCCTGGAGGAGTGCCAGAAGGAACTGAAGCGTGGGTTGCATCTTACGTCTGGCGGAGGGCTGCTGACTAGCTCTGCGGGATTCCTGCCCCACCGTTCTCCGTCATTCTCACTCTCCGCCCTCGCTCTGGCTGCAGCTCATAGTAATCCACTACGGATTCCACGCCCAGAACTTCGTAGTTGTGAAAGTAAACCTCATGACGTACCTGCCTCAGACAGCCAAGCAAACTCAGTACCTAATCCAAGTGATGAGGAAGTTATGCATTTTACGATGCGCAACTCTGTTCTGATGAAGAAACCAAAGCAGCGAAGGTACCGGACTGAGAGGCCATGGAGATGCGACCTATGTGATAAAGGGTTTACTTTACGTTCAAACATGGAGCGTCACATGAAGCAGCAACACCCAGACGTGTGGCAGCAGCGACCTAGAGGCATCAGCACCCCAAGGTCAGAGTCAGACACACCAACATCGGCAGCTGAGGCGCCCCACACCATCTCCGACACCGTGAGAGAGCAGCTTATCAACAAAATCGAGAAGGAGTCTAGCGAAGACAGAGAAGAAACTCGGCAGAAGGAAGAGGAGGAGAGTGAATTGGTCATTGACGATGGTCCGGAGGAAGATGGGGAAGAAGAAGAAGAAGAAGAGGAGGAGGAAGATGAAGAGGAGGACGAGGAGGAAGAAGAGGAAGAAGATGCAGATGGGAATAGTACTGACGAGAGAAGTCGTGAAGATGGAGCAGATCTAGCAAGTGTTACCAAGCTTCTCTCAACGGCGTCCAACCAGAGCTTCCCTTTTTTTGGCAGCGAGGGTGAGGAGGAAGTACCAGGTGAAGACGACTCCGCTTCATCCACTCCAGCATCAGAAGATGGAAAGCGCAGTGCCTACTCCTCAGCCCCGCAGAAACAAAAGTGTCCATTTTGTCAAAGAAAATTCCCCTGGTCTAGTTCTCTAGTGCGTCACATCCGTACCCACACGGGCCAGAAACCCTACCTGTGTCCAGTGTGTCACTTCCCCTTCACCACAAAGTCCAACTGTGATCGCCACTTGCTACGGAAACACCCCGACTCCCCACACACGATGGGAGGTGACCGCCCCTACCGCTGCGTCAAGTGTCCTGGAGCAGCTTTCACCAATCTTGAGAGTCTCCGGAAGCACGAAATGTTCAAGCACGAGAAAGCGAGTGACACAGCGGTCTTGAGGGACGATGCCAGACCGTTCAGGTGCCATGTGTGTGAGGCGCCGCTGGCAACACGCGAGGCGGCACAGCACCACCTCAACAAGGCCCACCCAGAACACGCGCGGAACATCGTCAACACAGAGCCCGTCACCACCGACAACAACAACGAGCCTCCTGTTCCAGAGACAACCACCACAGATAGGGTAAGTTAGACGCTCTGTGTAACACTGAAATATAACATCTAAAGAACCAGTTGATAAGATGTGGCAGTGCAACACTTTTAGGTGCCAGTAATCATAAAATAGTTTCCTTTTCAAATTAGCAGTGAGCTAATAAATTTCTTTCATCTTGCAGGTGAGTTGTATGTTCTGCCTTCAGCGGTACTGGAGTCTGGCTGAGCTGAAGCAACACATCACAACGGAGCACATGAGACCTCACCCTCCATTGGTTATCTCCGAGGACGAGCAAAAGGAAGAATGTCTAAGTCCTTCAGCAATCAAAACAGAAGTCAAGGAGGAACGCAAGGAGGAGGCGGAGGGCACAGACTTTATATCCAACCTGCTAGGGACAAAGCGGGCCGTGGTAGACAGACTATTAACAACAAAATCCGCCGACGATGCCGCCAAATTGCTGGGCGTCCGATAAAGGCTGGCTGGCAACTCTGTCATGTTGTTGTTCATGGAGAGTGGGAGTCCCAGCACTTAACTGTTCCATATTAGGGTGTGTCTATTCAAGATAACTTTTCCATTCCTTAGCTGAGTGCAATGTATGTCATAGCTTGTAGTTGTTCTTAAGGGTTACATTCATTATCTTAATTTTCCCATGTTAATGCATTCACAGTTTGCCTTGAAATTCAATAATTCGTGCCTTGACGACGTGCCCTAGACACTTCTATACTCTGTAAGTTGATGTTCTGTATATAACTCTGTATATATATATAACGACTCGGTGGTTATATTATTTACTTAATATAATTTCATTCCTTTTGTCTGTGATGTCTCCCAGTTGATTTTTTTGTTATTTACTCGTTATTGTTATTTGTTTGCTTGTACAGTACCTGCCAAAATATTATCCTGTAGTGTTTTCTTTAGTTGCCAATGTTCCAAACATTTTGTTCAAATACGAGGGGCCAAAATCATTTTTTTTCTTGTGCCTATAAGCTTTTCATTTGCCAGATTTTGCCACTGTTATGGCAATAATTTAAAAAAAAAGAATAATGTCGGGTCGGTTAGGTGATGTATGCCAAGAATGACCGCATATCTACCGTAGATCGAGACAATCTATAATGGATCAGGGATTGAGTAGTAGGTTACCTTATTATTTATACTTTAACAAGACTCCTCATCTCCCAAAGTATTAAAGGCTAGATGCCAAAGTTATGGTTAGTGTGTGTGTGTGTGTGTACATAATTAGACCTAATAATTTATCTCATAATCTGTAAGGCTACATTCTCATCATTCCAAAGTTTGTATATTTATACTTATATCTTAAGGTTAATTTCTCTATATAAAGTGTTGTGTTCCTATTAGTTTGTATTCACCGTCATATTCCAGAACTGTACCTCAATATTCCTTTACTTTGGTGTTTCTTAGTCAATAAAGTAAAGAACCAACAGATGTGGACTGTCCTTACAAATCTCTTCTTGTATTAATCTATTAAAAACAAAAAGTAATCCAGCACTGTGAACGCCTGTCTGTCTGGCTCTCTCTACACTCCAGGTTTTGGCTCGTGTTAGGATTGGCCGATCGTGTCCCCATGATTGGCCAAGACTAATCATCAGGCCATTTGAAGGTCACATTAATTTTTTCCTTACAACATTCTATCGTCTTGTACTTAACACCAGTGAAATAATAATAATAATAATAATAATATATTTCATGCAATAATGTCTTGCATTTTCCCAAAGATGAAGAAGTTTGGTGTGTGTGTGTAGATAGTGTCTCTTGAGTGATGTGTATTTTTTTTTCTAAGCAAGGTATTGTTCTGGGGATCTTAACTCCGTGTTTATATATCAAATAAAATTTATAAACGCATCCAGTGATCTCTGAATGTATAATAATAATTTTCATTCAACTTTCATAATATTAAAGTAATGGCATTATGTATAAAAAGCCTTATGTACAGACCAGTATCTTTTAACATACAGGGTCATGCAAAAACGAATAACTCAGATCTTAAATGATTATATATTAAAAATTTGGATATTCGTTTTTGATAACCCTGTATTAAAAAAAATTCATCCATGGCAGTTATAATATACATAATTATTATAATAAAAAAAAACAGACTTGTTTGATACTCTCGTCCCGTTCAACTGTTCAATCACCTTGTTCCGATTGTGTGTTTGTTTGTATGTTAACAGCACCACTTCAAAGAAGTTATACAAAAAACTGACCAAAAAAAAGCTTTGGAATAAATAGTTGTGATTGAAACCTTGTTGTTTATATACCCTTAGTTCGGTTATATACCCTTAGTTTGTTTATATACCATTAAGTTAATGTTTATATACCATTAAGTTAATGTTTATATACCCTTACTTTGATTAAAATGATTTACTGTTTTAGTAACACTACGTACTTTTAATAATTAGTGAGGTCAAAGTTACTATACTTTTAAAATACAAGATTAAAAACAAAATTTTAAAAATAATCGATTATTTAGATTTTGATATTCTTCATGAGCAAAGAGCGAGTCATCAGTCGTGCAGTAACAGTCTCGCAGCCTAAATTGTGTTAATAATAAGAAAGGATTTACAGTATTCACATTTGCGAACCGTGGAAGCCTGTAATTAACCTGGGTGTCTTTTAATGATCTGTGGGTCTATGTAAATCATTTTATTAATATTCTTAGTGATATTTCTGTACATAACAACAAAGATGTCTTGGTCAATTAAAATTCAGGTGGTTAAAGACACCGTAATGACTATGGTCATCTTTTATAGCAGATGCTGCCATTGACGCGCTAAGTCATATACGTCACTTTATTTTCAATATCGTAATCCATTTGTGCTTAATTTAATAAATGCTTATAAAATACTCTAAAAGTAATAACTATTGTTTTATAATGACTGAACTTTTTGTTGCCACCCCAGACCTTCTACCCAGAACCTATTAAGTTTTGGTTCATGTAAGGTGAGAATATTTGTCTAGCGTTGGAGAATGAGTGGGTTGTGTGGTCCTGTTATATACAGTGCCGGATTTAGACCTGTGGAGGCCCATGGGCAGCCTCTTTGTGGAGGCCCCCCTCATTATAACTACCCAGGAGGGTGGGGTGGCGAGTGAAGCGAGTCTAAACATCTGGGAGTTCCGGGGGCCGCTGTAAGCCCCCCGGGAAATTTTTGAAATTTGAACACTTCTTTGGAGAATTTTGAAGCCATATGCAGTTATATTGAGGAAATTAGAACATTGAGAAATTTTTAATTAACTGTATATTTATTGATAGTGTACAAATTCCCAACACACACACACACACACAAAAGTGAGACATGACTGGAGTCATTCATGTGGTTTCAAGTCGACCAGCCCTGATATAGCTACTACCGCACATGTCAAAAATTTGTGGAATTCTAAATATATTATTAGCAACACAAGCAACAGCATTCATTAAAAATATACGGTTCATAGGAAAACCAGGTATTCATGAATTTCAAGGAGTAGCTAGCCTAATTTCTATCACGCTTCTTGCTGAACATAGTTTTACGTGATGGAATAGATGAACATGAATTTTAAAGAATGAAAATAAAAATAATCCAAATGAATAAACAAATAAATAAAATATTGTAATATGTGGAGGCCCCTGGGCAGCTGCCCACTTTGTTTACTCCTGAACCCGGCCCTGCCCCCAGCTGCGTGGGCTCGTTGTGCTCGCCCTGTTCCCCCCAAAAAACTTGTTGGACTTCCCTTTTGATATTTCTGGATGCGCCCCTGGATAGCCACGGATAGTAAGAACCTTGCATCAGAGACTTGTATATACCTATCCGACATATGACATAAAGATAGATATGTTTATTAATCTCAGACAGACGTAAACAATATTTCCACGTTTATTGTCAGACATACGTAAACTAACACTCCCCCCAGACATCATTACACTATTCATATTACACAATTAGGTTCAATTAGGGCTTCTCAACAATCATAGGCACCTTCATATCTCCTTTAATACTAGCTATATACAGACTTCAGGCTATATGCACGGACTCAGGTAGAAGGCGTATAAAACATTAAATAATAGTTATCCCATGAAACATTGCCTTTGTGACGTAACACCATAGAAAATGTAAATTAACACGAGTGACTACCTTGAGATATTATTTTGGTTATGCAGCTGGATATTTGTATGGTTGTCGGTTGCAAAAGGGCAAACTGTTTGGAGTTGCCACTTTTTTTTATAACCTTCTTGGTTATATCTCTTTTATTTTCTAATTAATTTTCTCAAAGTATTTATTGTATTTCTTTCAGTTCTTATTTGTTTATTTCCTCTTACTTTTATTCTCAGATGTACTTCGTTATATTCTATTTTGTAGATTAACCTGGGAGAACCACATCCAGCTGTACTCACCACTCTGATGTGCTGGTGTATGTACCCTGTTAATCAAATAATAGCATGGTGCTCTAAGTATAATACCATCACTGTGCTACTGATTAGTTTTGAGTGACACTCTAGTATCACTGTTGTGTAATAATTGTAATGAAGTATAATTATTGAATTTTGTAACTGATAACTGAAGGTGTGATTTAGGGTTTGTGTGTTATTCTGAAAGTACTTAATTAGTTAAACCCCTTAAATTTCAATTCTGAGAAAAAAGTATATTTTGGTCAAAAATTTTGTAAGGTAAAAAGACTTACATTTTTGGTGGTTTTTGGCCAAAAATTAGATTTTGCTGAAAATCACAGTATGGGTACTTCTGAGCTTGCTGATAATGAGTATTTGGTCCACGATTCGACTGCAGAGTAATTAATGGCCAAAATGAGTCGAATA